CCCCCCCCCCCCCCCCCCCCCCCCCTTGGCAACGACGTTGTAAACCAGCCCCCCCGGTGTTTGCCATCGGCGTTGGGTTTTCGTCGCTTGGCAACGACGTTGTAAAACAAGCCGCCCCCCCCGGTGTTTGCCATCGAGGTTTGGGTTTTCGTCGCTTGGCAACGACGTTGTAAAACAAGCCCCCCACTCGGTGTTTGCCATCGGGATTGGGTTTTCGTCGCTTGGCAACGACGTTGTAAAACAAGCCAATTCACTTCGTGAACTCGGCAATCAGGTTACCGTTTTTTTTTTTTACCTCGGTTTTTTTTTTTGGCGGTAACCATAATGGTGGTCGAGTAGATCATGTTGTGCGGGGTCGAGAAACCTCACTCCGCGCAACGGGGGATGATCGCACCACGTTGTGTTAAAATGGTCAAGCTTCCTCGAGGCAGTTACACAGTGCTTACAACTGTCTCTGGAAGTGAAAGCACCAGAAAATAAATTAAGTCATACGTAGCTGTCATCCGTACGCAAGGAAGTAAGCACAAGATGCCGAACACCCTTAGCAGGATGCAGCTCACCCTTCATGCGACTCGCCAAATACCTCACGGCGCTTCGCGCTTGGTGATGTGAGAGCCTGGTCCGGTGAGAACCCGGCGTGCTCCGTCCCGGCTTTGTAGGGATGCGAGGTCAATGGTCAAACGACTACGGCATGCACGACTATGAGTACACCCCCCCCCTCTCTTCCGATACCCCCCCTTGAGGATTGGATCACAAACGCAATCATCGAAAAGCACACGATTGTGATGGCTTGTTGAGGTCGAAGACTTCGGTCATTGCATGCTGGTCCTTGTGGTTGTCATCATACACAACTAACTGCCTTGGTCGTCTCGGCTGTGGGGGTAGTGGGGCGCGGCGCCGCATCTATCGTAGAAACCATGAAGATATTTTTCTGTGTGTGAGAGAGATAATATTGTGTGCTAAGGGCATTAGCTTTGATCGACAACCCGGGCTCTAATAGTTATCCCCACGGATACCATTGTTTCAATATCGTGTTAACCCCTCTTTCCAAAATAAATCTCCAGGACAAGCGTGCACAACAAAAACACGAAGCACGATGCTTTTCGGGCGGTAACTCTTGAGCGAGATCACGTTGACATCTCGGCAACGAGCCAAGCTTGGACACCAACACTGAATAAATTCACCACAGCGTGTAGGAGAACGCACACCTACCTTCTGGTTTGCCTGCTTGAGGATCCTGATGAGTTCCCTCGCGCACTTGGAGTTTTTCCCGGCGAAGAAGCTGATAGCTGTGCCCTTGTGCCCTGCACGCCCGCACCTGCCGATGCGGTGGACGTACGACTGACCCAAGAGTCGGTGGCACGTGATCCCGTATGAAAAAGATAACATGTACAGAGGGTCGCGGGGGGGGGGGGGGAGGGGAAAAAAAGGGTGGTTTTCAAAAACGAACAAGGGTTGGGTCCTGTTTTCGGCTTCCCCCAAAAGAAAATTGGTTCTTAATTCCCCGGAAATTTCCAACCCTGCTCGACCCCCGGGAACCAGGCTTTAAACTAACCCAACCTAACCCTTTTATCCCGTGGGAAACTTGTTCCAAGTGAAAAGCCTTTAACAATTGTTCCCACTGCCGCTATGTCCCCGAATTATGGTGGGGGTTGCCTCAAAAATAATCCCTTTTGGCCCTTTAAAGGTTAAAGAGCGAGAAAAAAACATAAAAACCCACCCCACTACCTACCCCCAGGGGGTTCCGGTCTTGA